GTGTGACAGCAATTAAGCCAGAACTCTTAGAAGCATGAAGAAATTAATTCTAATTGCACTAAGGCTCGGCTTAGAAATTGTCCCTAATATATGAAATGGAGAAAAAGTCAGCTTCAGGCAGCATTCCAGCTTTACTTCCTCCACCTCCATGCTACTGCAAGCAAGGGGACAGCATGTATCCTATTATCGGCTATATTGAGGAAGCTTTATCTTCAGACATCCCTCCTTGGGCTTGCTGTCCCGCAGGCACTGGAGCACATTCCACTTTAAATGCAGCAGAAGCCAGAGGCCAAGTTACCAGCCAGATGATTATTCCCCACCAAATCAATTTCCAGTTTCTTCATCAAATATCATCAAAGCCCTATCTTGAGTGCCTTCAATTATTTTTCAAGAAAGCAGCAGATTAGGGCAGTTAGCAGAATCTTCAAGAGCTGTTCGGCACCTCACAAACTGATAATTCAGTCATCTTAGTTTCATTAAACTCCAGAGTTGGTTCCAATAAGCTGTCACTCTTTTAACTAGATGATATAGAGCTGAATGACGAAGATATGCTTAAGCAAACCAGATGAATACACACAAGGAACCCTGTTCCTTTCAGTTACAGGCTGAAAGCTGATATATTACGTGTCTGTATGCAATAAAACTTTTTTGTTTTAATGTTCCTAGGGAAGCTTGAAACTAAATCCTTGCAAAACATCTGGTTCAAAACTTGAGCATTTTAATATTAAATGCTTCCTGAAATCTGTTTGTATAACTGTACCATGCAGGTTTGCTTCATAGCTTTGTAATAAATTGTTTCTAACTCATTTTGTTATCCTTGCACTGACTTTGGTATCTCCTGCTGATAACACAACATCAGTAAGAGTGCTACTCCAAGTTCAATAGTTAGCTGATATCCCAAGCACAAATTCTGAAGACAACTGCATAATCTTTAGGTTTCAGCTTCGTATTGTCTTACACTCAACTTTAAGGTTTTAATTCTCTATTCCTTAAAATTAATTAAATTCCTTTATGTTACAGATTTGTCTTCCCAAATACAGTGTTCAGTATCACTTACTGGCACAATAGGCCCCTTCTGCACATCTCTGGATAAGGTGTGAAGAAAGTTTGCACGCTCCTGTGAACAGCAGTTGTCACGTTACTGCTGGGACTGGTATTTAGAACTTCATGTCAAAGCCCTGCAAGGCTTGGAAAAAAAAATTCATCAGTGAAGTGGAAGACTTTTTTTCCACACCAAATAGTCATCCTGAGTGTCCATGGACAGAAAAGCGAAAGGAAATCGTAAAAGGCTCATAGGTTTTAAAGAGTCCTGACCTGGCATCGCCTGACCCTCCTCCAGACAGGGCAGTTGTGTTGGCCTGACTCTGAGCTTGCAGGGCTCATGAACTTCAGGATCCTCTCATGCTAACACAGCTGTACTACTTTTGGGACTTGAGCTGGTATTTTTGCAAGATGTGTAGCTTGGACTAACTCCAGCTATCTAACTTAGGGTAGCCTCAGCTCTTTAGTGTGAGGCCTTTCAGCATGACTGAGCATCTTGGGAACTTGCCTCCCCCTCCAGGGCCAAAGAAGGAGCCTTCATTTCTAACTTCAGCTGCTCAGGCTGACCTCAAAGACAGACTGAATACAAACTGAAGGAGGGCTCCAAGAGCCTTTGAAATACAGGAGAAGGCAGAAACCGCTCAGGGGCTCCTGAACTACTAGAAAGAATTAAAGCCGAAACAAAACTTCACACAACAAACGTTCAATTCTATAGCCTTAAAACCCATACTAACTGTTAGCAAAGCTTTGTGCATGCTTTAGATTAGCCATGTAATTACAACATAAACCCCCACTAGGATTTAATTTCAATTGAAAGCAGTGGAACTAATGGTGTGCTTACAAATAAAGCTAATTAAGACTTTGTAGAACTGGGGACTATTTCATAAAAGTATCAAGAGATTTAATGTCAATATGTAGCACTTTGCATAGAGTGCAAAGAGCGCTCATAGAGTCTATAAAAGTATGTACAGGTATGGCTTAGCTCAGAGAGAAATGTGAAAATACATAGTAGGAAACAACTCTTCCAAACAGCAAATAATTGTTTAAATATATAAGTGGAACAAAATCCTACAGCTGATGTATAACACAGGAAATTCCATTTCAACATACTTCTTGATGCTTAATCCTGCCAGGTGGAATGGATCAACAAAAAGGGAGAAGTCACAGTACATGGTGAAAAAATGTTATACATTTGTGAAGGTCATCCAACAGGACAGAAGGAAACTCCACAAAGCAGCTCCAACACTCATCGCTCAAGTTCAGCTAGGTTCAAGCTCTATGTCTATCTGTATCATTACAATTATTTAAGTTTCAGTTTATCAGTATCTCACAAAAAGCCTGTTTTTACTGAAATACCTTTTCAAGCTGTTTTCTTAATGTTTCCAATATATAAATTTTCTTTTTCCCCCCCCAATATATACACATTAATTTCAATGAAAATATAGCAGTAGTACTGGAATAACAGTCGGGGTGGGGAAAAAGACACTTTCTACAACTTGCTCACAAGAGCTTCTTCAGACTGTCTCCAGTATGATCCAATATTAGAAGAGTACCTCATAATTTGCAACAGCAACAGCGAGCAGTGAACCTTCCGCTTGCATTAGACTGTGAAAAAATGAACATGTCAGTACAAAGTCATGACATGGCATACTGTGGCTGATTGAAGCACTCAGATTCAGATGAAAATAAAATATTAAGAGGAAACGGTTGAACATGGCAGCTGAGATAAAAATTGGAGCTCTCTGCAATAGGTAACTGCAAATCAGATCTGGAATGTTAAAAGAAAAGAGAGTGGATATTTGATATGAAACCTGAAATTGGTGAAATTTTTGTTTAATTAAATTCAAAATGGAGATGAGAGAGGAAAAAAGTGAGCATGACTAATAACTGCTTTTCAAAAACACAGTTGGGTTCCTAAGTGCGCTTCAAAGGTTAAATTTAAGCCCAAGATTAACTTTTACAGGCATACTAGCTCTAGACAATTTTGTCCTCGGGTTCCTTAGACCTCGTCTTTCAGCCATCAGATATAAATGAAATAACATGACAGCAAAGAACTAGGATTTGGTCTTCTGGCAAAAATAAATAGATATATATAACAATGCCCATTTCCGTGTGGTTACATAGTGATTATAATAAAGTGTGAGGAATAACATCTGAGACAATGCAACACAGTCTGCAATGTTCAAAATAAACTGAATTGAGAAAAGGAGCCAGAAACCCACCAGGGCTCCACGTCTCAGCATTAGCTTCGATGCAGATTTCCCTTCAGGACTGACTTTGCAAGGTGCAAGGGTGTGTTTGACCAGAGACCCATGGAGACCTTCAGAAGATGGGCAATTCTGAAAACAAGCAGCAGGATCTGTGGTAGAGGCAGCCTCCAGCCTCTCTGCCCTGTGGCAAGGAGGGCTGCTCCTCCCTCCCTGCAGGGCTGGGACCTCCTGCTTTCTTGCAAATTCCTGTGAACTGTGGGTGATGTGTTGAAACTGCCCTTTTACTCTGGATCAAGTAAAGCTTTCTCTGTATCAAGTCAGGTCCAGAAAGGCCAGCAGAAATGTTTGCTTGTAAACAAATATTAGCAAAGAGAAATGCCAAAAATGAGTGGGCAAACCCTTGCAGTGAAAGACTAAAGTCTTTGTTAGGATTCATTACATGTGTAGGCTAATAACACGCATTTCACAAGTGTCTGTCATAGATTGTCTTCCTTTGTGCAAATGTATTTTCCATTTACTCTCTATTCTTAGCCAAGCATGAGGCCCAGAGAGAGAGACTGCCCCTTTTACTTCAGCCCAAGCCCCAGGGGTGCTTAGCAGACAGTCTGGCCAGGGGATTGCAAAGTCTGCAAGGATGCTTGCTTGGTATTGCCACAAAAGAGAACTTGAAAGGTTTTGTGCAGTGATGAGTCTTGGTCAAGGAGTTAGCAGTATTTCAGTGAGCCAGAAATTCATATATATTAAAACAAGATACCCCTCCCATCCATCATTTTCGAAAGGTAAGAGTGGAACTATCTTAATTTTTAATGCAAATTGAGGACTTGCAGTTCCCCAATTAGAGCTAACAGGTTCTTCACTCTTCCTGATAATGTGTTTAAAAATAAACCCCTCAAATCTCTTGCCTAAGCAGCATTAATCATCCCAGATCTTAACCATCAATCATCAATTGGCTTTTATGAACTAAGAGGTAAATAAAAAAGAATGTGATGTTTTAAGACTGCTTTTACAGATCATAAGCTACAGAAATCTACTTTCCCTGTCTCCTCTTTGACTTCAAGGGAGTATTATTGCTGAATATCATAAGGTAGGATATGACTTGATAACAATATTTGTCCATATTTTATATCTAGCAGCTGTTAGGATTTAAATATCTAATTTCAAAGTATCTAAAACCTCACGCAGGTCAGATCCCAGACATATTTTGCACACATGGATTAAGTGAAGAAAATCATTAAGAGGCCAAACCCCCAAAACATTAGCAAGCATAATGATGTACAAAATGCCAAAAATGTGCTTATCTCATTTCAGAATCAACTCAGCCTGCATCTAGATTCCTGAATTTTTTTTCAATTTCTGTATCTTCAGAAGGTATACGAAGAACGCTATTATGAAATCCAATGTTTTCTATAGCAAACTAAAACTACGCTGAAGAGATTAAATGTTGGAAGCTATTTTTAGCCAAACTAATTGTAAGAATTTCACTAAGAACATAAGCTGCAGATGTCTGCTGAGGTAAAAAGCAAGACGACGGAAGAGCTCCTAAGACAAAAGGCTACTCACTACAGTAGAATAGCAGATCTAAATTACACTAAATAATGCAATTCTGCCCAACACTCCCCCTGGTGGTTTTGCCCACAGAGATGAACATGAGGTCCCATATGTGCAAAATCCTCCAGCTTAATGATAAAACGTTCCGTTAATAGGATTAAGTACCTTCTCATCAGATAAGTAGAACATGGCAAAATCCCTGACACTCCCAACAATTAGATCAGAACACAGCCCAACCCCTTCCTAACACGAGGAGGAATTCTGCAGAGGAGGTGTTTCAATATTAATGGTAAATACATTATTTGGGGTTTTTGTTTTACTTTTCTTTGTAATGGGTTTGTATTTCTTTGCAAAGCTAATTGGTCTTTCACTGTAAATGTAAAGGTACAATATGCAAGTAACTATAGAAGTAAATACAGGCTATAAATAAATCCAGGCTCTTAATTTACATATGCACTTGCAGCTGATAACTGCATCTCCAAGAAGGCTATACTGGCTGACAAGAAGGCACTTAAATACTCTGTTCACTTGGTCAGATGAGAATTATAAAGTGTAGCTGCACGGTTTATAAAAAATAAACCTTTCTCCTCTAACTGTTCTTGGGAGGGAAAGAAAGGAAACAGCATTTCCCTTATTTTGTAGGAATTTCTTTCGATCACTCATGTTTTTATTTATAAAATTGATCTAATTGCCAATTTTTTGGAACATCTATTATTGCATCTGCTATATTAAGTATTATCCCAAAGGACAATGAAAGGAATTGCTTGTTTGGAGACAAAGAAAGGAACAACATTCTAGAAATTTTCCTTTTTAAATTTGGCAATAATGTTTAGCATGGATGCATTTTTAATACGAACTAAGAACACAGTGTGAGATCAGTAATTAGTGTGTTTCACAAGGCAGAAAAGGGTCAGACTGAGCTGCATAAGCCTTCGGTTTTATATATATGTACCACTGTGCAAACTCAGTGGAATTCATCTAGTTAGTCTGAATAGATAATTACAAATGAGGTCAAGGTTCTTACTCATGTGTTTTCACTAATAGTAGCATTTATGTGCATGTTATAGATCTCAGAAACCATAGTTAAAGTTTAATGGGAACTTGTGTAATACTTGGTAAATATTGTGTAGACATTTATGCATCATGAAAATCTTTACATTTAACTGCACCAAACTGCTTCTTCAACAGAAAGAACATGAAGTCCTCTTGGCTATTTATAATATATGTGTTATGGCTGAATGGTCACCAGTGCGCACCAACGAGGCAGGAGGAAACAAATCTCCGGGAAAACCTGAAGCGTATGTATGCTTGTCTCTCCAGAAGTGTACTGGAATCCCCTGGGCCCAGGTCTCCAGTCTCCTGGTGCATTTTGACTCCGACACTCACTGGCATCAAGAGGATCTGCTTTCATGTGTGGAGCTTAGAAACCATTGTATAGCTGATACATGCATCCACACACACGCCGGGCGGGGGATAAGAACAACAGGGACGAGAAAGTAAAGGTTTTAACAGATAAGCATCCCCTCACAAAAAAGTATTTACAGCATTGTTACAGGTTATTTGACCTGTCATAGATCCTTAGGATATAAATTGAACCCAAAATTCAATTCAATAGATTTGGAATTATTTTGTTTGTTTAAATAATCTTTGAAAACGTTTCTTCTACAATTATACGGTATGCCATCCTGGAAAAGGAGGGTTATTACAAATAATTGGAACAACTTATTTAATAAAAAGCAGCTATTCTGCATATACTCACCTTTAAGCATGGCTTTATTTTGTGGATAGGAAGCCCAAGAGGATCAACCATGAAATATTCCTTTGCTTCTGTCTATGTTAATAATATTTCTGTAACAAACAAAAAGTTAAGGGAGGGGAAGAAGGATATAGAGGAAGAAATGACTGACATGCTTTTTGCAGTCTCAGGGTGATGTGTTCTTTTTTTTCTATAGTTCCAGTGATATTCAGGGTATTTCTGCAAAGGGAACAAATCCAGATAAAGGACAGGCAATCATGCAGAGCTTCGAGGTGCAACACGTGGACCAACCTGGGTTTTCACCAAAACTCTATGGTCATTACTTCACAGGAAGTCTAGAGATTGTAATTTTATGAAAGCAAGTTGAAGGCACCTGCAATCTACGTTTTCAAGATGTAAAGGGAAGCTGTCACAGCCTGGTTTCAGATCAATGACAAATACACAGGTATATCATTAGGAACTGTTGAGTAATCCTTGGAGATATCCAAAACCCAGGATGAGGTCCTGAGCAACCTGTTCTAGTTGACCCTGCTCTGAGCAGGGGGGTTGGACTCAGTAATCTCCAGAGGTGCCTTCCAGCCTCAAATGTGACAGCTGAGTATATAGCTTGAGTTACACACAGCTGAGCAGTGGCAAAGGCTGTGGGACAGATACTTATCTGATGGAAATTGTCTTGGCTCTGTGTTATTCAGCATTCGCTATCTCAAGATTTGGCTCTGTATTTTTAGGGAAACAGAGTTGTTTCATTCTCCTTCGTCATCAGTGCATGACAATTTGTGATAGTGCTAAAATCTGATTAAGTCACTGTATAATTTGGCTTTCTTTAGAATTATCTGAAGTTGGAGAGAAGTATGTAGATGAAGAGGTAAAGAAAGCTTTGATTGGTATTAAGCAGATGAAAATAATGATGGAAAGAAATGAAGATAAGCACATAGATCTGATGAAAACCTTGAAGAAGAGCAGTGAAGAAAAACAGGTAACTGAAGTGCATGTGGGGGTTTTTTGTTTGTGTTTTTGTTAAGTTGTGGCTATTTTTAACCAAAGATGAGGCAGGTTGTACATGGATTTAGCCTAGTTCCTGGAAGTAGTACAATTATTAGGCCAATAAGCAACCCAGAAGGGATCCCTTGGTGTCTCCCCTTTTCTGGGAAGAACATAAATCACAACGTATGTACTCTGAGCACCATACATTTCTTTATGTGGTCACAGGATTGACAGGAAATCTGCTTCTGCCCCTTTCTCTTACTAGCGGAAGAAAACTCTCATGGCACTGCTATAGAGGTTCTCACTGCCTGTCTCTGGGAAGGGGGAGTTGGGCCAATAAACATCTTTCACAAGCCTGTCAGGAACCTGGATGTTCACATTTCAGAAGAAGTTAAAACATTAGTTTATATTTGCCAGTTTGTTAGGAAAGAGGTTGCCTGCTGGCAGGACCCTGTCAGACTGATGCTCCAGCCCTGAGGGAAGCTTTCAGACTGCGCTGGAAGGAAGCACTGACAAGAGCATTGCCTGCCTCACTGATGCCTCTTCCAGATTGTGCGGTTCTTTTGAAAGCTAGAAGTTAAGAGTTTCCATCTTTCCTTAGAAATACAGCTTTCTAATTAAGTGGCATACTGTTAATTTTTCCCTGTGGCTGAATGTCTAAGCTATTTCTAAAGTGAGCCCTAGACAAAATACAGCTGAGTTACCAAGTTAGCAAGTTACCTTCTCTCAGCTCATCCCAGGTGCAAAGTAAAACATGTTATCTGACACAACCTTCCTTGAGATTTGAGCTCTCTCGTTCTCTTCTGCAGTTGGGAGGTAATCAGCAGCAGCCTAGGCATAGACAAGCTGATGGTGACCACCATGTGGAGATACAAAGTTCTGCAGTAAAAGGAGACATTAAATGCTGTATGTAGATTCAAACACTACTTTGGAGAGAGAACCTGAGTTTTGTAACATCCAGGAACCAGAGCTGCTGCAACAGCAATGGGTTGAATAAAGTATCACACTTACTGCTTGTTTCTAGAAATCCCCTGCTTCACTGAATTCGCACCAAGGTAACTGGAAGCAACTGCAAGCAACTGTATGAAGGTCCTTTGCATGAAGTGTCCAGCAGCTCTGCCACTCATGTCTTTATACACCTCAGGCGACAAGATGTTTCCCAGCTTGCTTTGCAAACTTCAGACCTTCAGAAAAATATCAAAGCCCCAAATGATAATGTGCTCTAGAGAAAGTACAAGGGATCAGGGGAATTTCCAATGTCCTTGTGCCATGCCTAGGCTCAGAGCCATGTGCTCAGATATCTTGAGAAACAGAGATTACTGTATATTTAAAAAAAAATATGAAGGTACTAACTATTGCTTTAAATGAAGGTGAAGGAAAATTCCCTTTTGGCCCAACATCTGGTAGTTAGTTTAAACTATTTGTATGAGCAAGACAAAAACACCTGATAGCTTTCTAACATCTTTAGGAACACCAGTACACTCCCATGATCAATGCTGGTCTTAGTTCTTACTGGATCATTTCATTTACACAGAACTTACATCCACAATTAGAGTTCATAAAACACTGAATAAATGTACTAGAAAGATCAGTAAATAATTAAACATAGACTATGAAGACCACAGTTACTGTCTCCACCAAGTACACTCTGACAAAAGTTTTCATTTCTGTGATCCTTTTCCCTATTGAAATGCTGCCAGAAACGAGGAAGACTGACTGATTAGGAGGTTTCTGTCATACTAAAGAACAACTTGGAACATTGTCTGGAAACCTAAACTATTAAAAGATCTTGTACTTGCAGAAAAAAATTCCTGATGTGCAATCTGCTTCAATAGAAAGAACTGTTCTGTCTTTCCACGGCCAGGTTTGTTCAACTTTGTGCTCTGCCTGATGAAGACTGATCTAGTACACAGAAGCAGCATTGTAAAATGCATCTTATTTCCCTTCAGTATGGAAGGAGTGCCTCACACTTCCCCAAGAGCAGGAAGAAACCCACTCACTACAGTCTTTTGATTAGTATAATCCCAAACAGAGGAAATGCTATACTTTTACATATGTCCGCATTAGAGAAAGAATTTATGTATGGCATGGACTTAGCCTCATGAAATATCAGTCCCCTAAAGAACAGAGCAAAACAACAAAAAAGGGCTACTTGTGGAACAGATGAATACTGCAGATACGATATGGAGAATAAATTACCGAAGTTGAGAACATGACCTTATGAGAGATTGAATGCTTCTTGCACAGAAAGATGTGTGGCTTTTTTCATAACCTCAAAGATCCAGGTAGATGGTAGAGACCTGTTTGGTTTTGTAGGCTGTGCCCACTGAGAGAACAACTTCAGAAAAACCCTATAAGGAAAACTTTTTCAATTTTCAGTTCCCTCCGTATGTGACTGCAGCTGAGAAGACAACCTACCTTAACAGTTAGGGATTAGCAAAATAAGAACAATAAATAGCCAAAATGAGTGATCAACACTGGGATCAGTATTTAAAATATTAATCTGAAAATTCTCCTCAACTTTTTTTCTTATTTAGCAAGCCTTGCGACTTATGGATGAAGTAAGGGAAAGACTGGAAGAAGAAGAAAGACAATGTCAAGTATCCTTGAAAAATTTATGGGATGAATGTGAATCTTGTTTAGAAAGTACCTGCATGAGATACTATACAACTTGCAAACAAGGTTTGTCAACGTTTAGAAGAAAGGTAGGAAGAAATTTTGTATCTGGGAAATACTCTTGATTTCACTTAACAGTTTTAGAGAGAGCACATCATATTTTCTCAATAGCCAGATCTGCCAGTTCTCTCAAGTTACTAAAATAAATTTGATTTGGAGGGTCTGGAAATGTGAAGTCATAAGGCAGAGATTGCATGCAATTATATTCATTGAACACTGAGACAAAATGAGTTCAGTTGCACCCTGGCGTGATTCCATGGACACTGATTATTCCCCTGACTCCAACAGAGTCACTCCAGATATATGGCGTTGTGTCTCACAGTAGGACTTGCATTAAGATGTTTGTGAAAAATACCACATAAATTCTTTATGGTCCATCTGAAAATCAGCACAGTTAGAAGTGTAGATACAGTTACCAAAATTCCATGTGAAAAACATCACCTACTTATACAGCATTCTTTCCTATATTTATTTTACTTTAAATTTACACTTTAAGTGACAAAATAGCTTTAAAATGCTTAACTGGAAACTGTCAGCGAAGGAGATTCCCCTAATTCTGCCAGAAACAAAATATACTTTCCTGACTGGCACATTATTATTACAAGACTTAACAAAATTGTAATCATAGTTTTTATTTGGGCATATGCTTGAAGTGCAGCTTAACAACTGAAACTGCACAATTATTGCTACTGAAATTTTAGCCAGATTACCTAGCTTTCACATCCCCAGGCACTGAAAAATACAGTAACTTAAAAATTAAACATGGTGTGTTTCAAAAGTGACAAGCTTTAGAGCCAAAGTGTTTAATATCTGTGCATATTCTTAAAATTATTCAGGTAAAAATGTGGAAGATATCAAATTTAAGACTATTGGTAATACTTTTGGCTTTTTAGATACCTCTCATGGATACCTCAAATGTATCTCCTGGACTTTCAGGAGTCTGTGGATGTCAGGTTGAAATGATTGCAGTAAAAGTTATACACTGCACTGTCACTGTCTTTGACCCTCTTGGCAATGTCCTCGGTGAGCTCTCTGGCTTATTTGAAGCGTTCAAAGTGACAAATATGTTGTCACCCAAATAGTTTTTGGAAAAGGGGACAAAGACAACAGCTGTGGCTGATGACACACAGGCAGCAGGGGCAATACTGGTGTAGGCTGTTCCTGCGGTGCTGTTTCACAATGTAGCTGCCCTCTGAGCTGCATTATCAGTATTTATAAATATGTATAGGTATAGGTATACATATAGGTATATGTGTGTGTTTGTAAGGGTGCTTCTTAACCCTTACCAGTTTTCTAATGCCATTAAGTGTGGCTCCCCAAAACATTGAGTCCACTCAGGCAAAGGTAGTGTGTTAAAAGCATAGAGCAGGGAACCAGTGGCTGAGACCAAGGGACCAGGAACTCCGCAAACGAGGGTCGATACTCGGGCTCTTCCATCATCAAACCATGGACTCGGAGCCACTGCTTCACTGATTTTAATGGGTTTCAGTTTGCACATGGATGTGAGGACTTGGCCATTAGTGAGAGAGGGCAGGGTGTTTACAGATCACAGCAAGAACAATCGCTTTCTGTTCACTTCACTGCACATAAGTACCACAGAAATATTTCCAAGATAAAGTCCAAATTGTTTGTTGGAAGAAACCCGAATGCCGATACTAACTTTGAGCCTCCACAGATTAAAGGCCAACTGGCAACCCTTTTACTCCAGATCTGATTTGGAGCTAATGATTTAGACTAAACGTACTTTCACTCTTTAGAGTCTAGCATCTTAAATTACTCTGGAGAATATACAGTGATTGCAGTTATTAAGAGAATGCATTGTTTCTGTGGGCATTTGAAAGAAAAAAATCAGAGTCACTTTCCTGAGAGATTAAAAACTGACAACTCATCAGGCAGCTGATCTATCCCTTTCTTATACACAGGTTGAAGATTTTTTGAGGAAAATACCTTCGCTCATTTTTACTTTTCATGAAGATCAAGGAAAAGACCTCCAATTTAACAAAAAGCCTGAGAAAGAGGATACCCAGCTAGTAAAAATGGAAGATCTATTTAGCCAACTATTATCAGACATGGGCTCAATGTTTGATAGAAGTTTAATTTTTTTCAAGCAAATGCAAAAAGAATTTGACCAGTCTTTTCAGACGTATTTCATGTCTGATCTGGACTTGAATGAGTCCCCCAGCACCCCAGCCTTACTTGAGGACACCACCAGAAAGGACGGCTCACAGAAGCCAGTACCCGGCTTTTTACAGATAATTTTTGATTTCAGTAAGACTGTGTTTGAAGGTGTCAGAGAGGTGATTACTGAAGTGTTTGATGAATACAGAGATAAGAGAAGAGATGTACCAGAACAAGCCAAAGGTAACTGTTAGAAAACTAAAATCAGCTGCACTGTCCATTACATCAGAGCCCTCTGGATTGCTAAACTATGGTTAATGAAACAGTTTGCGGCATGTTAGTGTGGGATACAGTATGGAAGTTCTGCAGGCTTTCTTGGTTAAACAGGCATGGGTCAAGGATAAGTTTATTCATTAAATTAAGAGGTAAAAATCACCTAGAAGTCTCAGAGAAACATCACAGAGGGATTTGTGGGTCCTACAAATCCTGATTTTCATGGCAACTCTCAAAGCATTTGCAGGAGTTCCTCAGGAGCTCTTGAATTCATGATGGATGCTGGTTTTCATAAAGCTGGCTGACAGGTCTGATCTCAGCATTTGTCAGGATATCATATTGTATCATATCATATTGACATGACACCGATTCTAAAAAATCAGGGTAATTCTGTGAGATGTCAAGGCATATCCCTGCCCTTGTCAAATTACGCTCAACCAGACAGCTACAAGCTCTGTTCTAGGCCACCACAGAAATGTAGCATGCCAATCAAACACAAACCAACCATCAGGCTTTCGAGTGACCAGAAAAATTCTGGACATAATGTTGGTTGCAGGTGATAACCCTCAATGGAGGAAAAAAACCCCATGGTCTGCTTCCAGAATACAAATAAGCCTTATCCTTCATATCTCACTAGTGCAAACAGAAAAACAAGCGTAATCCAAACACACTCTGGTGTCTATCTACAAGGAGATCACAGTAAGCACATGCCATAACTCCTGAGTGGCAGGTGATGTAACCATTTCATCAGGAATATAAAGTTAAATGATTCTACAATTACATTTTTAAATTTTTCTTCTATCATGACCCATGTTACCTCAGAAATAAGCTTTGGCTTTGGTACTGTGTTCCTCTCATCTAGCTGTATGTGATGATGAAACATCTTGACTTCTAAGGTTGGAAAAGATCTTATCAGAACTTGCATGTTTTAGAAATAATGTGTAATAATATTAGCAATTGTTTGTCTATTAGTAGGGAATATGCTCCTATGCCTTTATAAGGGAATATACAATAGTGGCATGAATTCCTTGAAAGGAAATGTGATTTGTATCTTCTCCTGACTTCTACTTTTTAATGTTTTATTACTTTGCGGGGGGAGGGGGGGAAGGAGACAGAGAGGGATGGATTTATGCCAGATATTTTGGACCTTAAGCTTAATGGCTGTCTAAAAATACTATGACTTCATTCTAGATCGGGACAGAAGTGGCATGTTTTCAAAAATTGTGTCAGGACACCAGAGACCTCTGTGCAGGGAGCTTCGGGAGAACTCCTCTGGATGCCCACAGTTTCATGAGAGATGTCAGAAATGTCAAGACAATCTTTTGCATGGTAAATAGCTATTTTCTGATTTTTTTATGTAATGCATTAATCACTGGTTTGTAGATTTCGAGGCCATCATTTTCTAATGTGCTGTTTCCATAGCTTTGGAATGAACATTCAGTCACTGAGTTTTTACGGTAACTACGGATACAAACACTATTCCTCATTCCAGAGGATTTCCATTACCTTTCCCCACTGTCTCCGCAGGGTGTCAGTATAACTCAGTTGTTAACATACCGCTGGAGGTCCAAAGAGAAGTTCTACACTCTGTAATAAAAAATTCCTATATATTTTGTTAGAGTTGCCACCCAACAGAGAAGCAAGAGGTCAGGCAGCAATCGATCCTGCCTGGGCACAGAGGTGCTGAGCAGCAAGTGAGGAGAAACTCAGACTCCTGACGCTTGCTTCTCCTGCAGACAACCAGATGTAAGGTCGGGTAGCATTCAGCTCCTCACAAGGAAAGCAAGCGCTGAAGAGCCTGTAATTATTCTTTGTCGAACCATATCGGCAAGCAGGGCTGACATGAAGGACAAAAAAGGGACTGTTTGTCCATACATAAGGCGATGGCAAAGCTCTGGCATGCATTCTCCATGGGCACCAGGAAAAATGTCAGACTGCTGCTCTCGGGACTTCCACTGCAGCGTAACACACCTGTGTTTCCAGAATTATTTAGGTCTTAAAAGCCACAGAATATGCTTAAGCCCAAATGTCTTCAGAATATCTCCAGTGCAGCATGCAGCAGACATTAATGATCCAGTGACACATTTTGAAAAGAATATCGGACCACTTCCATCTCACTAAAAACATCTTTTTGTCTTTTTGTCTTTGTATACAAGTTTGTATCCGTGGTTACTGTGCTATCAGCCTTAAGGTGTCCCATCACAGTCTTATTTGACAGAGCAGAAATTGAATTTTTACGTAGTAAATTTGTATAGGTTTAATATAATGTTCTTGTTTAAAATCCATATTCTAGTAAATAAAAAACCAGCAACCTTCAGTTCTGAATTCATGGCAGATGATACTAGTCACATACTAATGTCTAGCTATTGTTAGATAAATATTAGGCCTTAACACTCATCAGGAATAGTAACATACATTAACTGGCTTTCTTCTAATGACTTATATACTTGGGATGGATTGATAATGGAATATGAGAAATTTAAAAAAAAGATAATGTATAAGGAGATTATGAAGTTGCTATATGTAAAAATCTACCAGTTCTTATTTAGCATAACAGAAAATCTATTGCCATGAAATATGATATAAACCTTAAAGTACTTTGTAAGTCATTGTAATACAGCAAATGGGATAATTAACCCATCTAGTCATTACGAGCCTAAACTAAATCTAGCAAAACAGGCCAGCAAGAATTACTTTTCTTTTTTTAGCATTATTTAAACACCAACCCAAAACGTGCCCCCTTGCTAGATTTTTTTACAGTTTTCTACACTTCAGATATAAAAAAATACAAAGTACAAGACATACTACTTTCCTATAAGCTTCATGCTAGCTGTCTTTTTTAACAGATTGCCCAAATGTTCCTGAACTGCACATAAAGTTCGATGAAGCCTTTAAGCTGGTTAATCTCTCGGGGGAGCAGTACGAGCAGATTCTCCAGGTGGTTCAGCGTCATACAGAAGACACTTCCTATTTGTTGAACAAAATGAAAGAAAGATTTGGGTGGGTGTCTGAGTTATCCAATATGACCATCGGACCAGAAAACATTTTCAATATAGTTAAGGTAAGGGTTGTCTTCCGAAGGGAGGTATTGCACAGGACTGTCTTTGACCTATGTTTTGCTCTTGGGGATTGTGGATGTTTGTACGTGTGTAACGTTTGGTTTTTACAACACAAAGTTCCTACTCATCTTGAATTTAGGTATGCTTGATAATCCCTTGATGAGCTGAAACTCCAGAGACTAGAAACTATTTTCCTCTAGATCCTTTTAGTCTGATGGATGGCTGACAGGCTAACCTGAATCACTGTCTGATAAGAGTAAATTGACACTAGCAGCTTTGACTGGCCTCAGGTTACCTTCTCAGATAAATTTCACTGTACCAGTCAGTAACACATCCTTATTGGATCACTGAATACCTACCTATATGTCTATGTCTGCACCTGTATATCCCAAAGCTCAAAGTGGACAAACATTATGCAGGTCATTGCAGTGGAAGCTGCGTATCTTCAACAGCATCTGTCAATATTTCAATAAATATATCATGATTAACTGTATCTCACACACAAGAACATGTCCAAGGTAAATTCAATCCATTTTCCTGGGCAAGGGACAAACCCTATTCTCCCTTCCAACTCAGAAATCCAATGTATTACTATTACTACAAAACTTTATACAAAATTATTGTGCAACCCACCAAAAATCACAAAATCAGGAACAAGGGGACAGGCAATATTGAAGCACACTTTGCCAACTGAGTCTGAGCTATCTGCTCTAGAAAAATAAAGTTACAGAACTAACTCTGGCTTAGAAAAGCACATAGGAACTTCAACCACACAACCTTTGTCTTGAAATTAGTGGGACAACTCACACACAAGTTTTTACCAGGAGATCAGAAGCTCTTTGTAGATGCAGTATATGGTATAAATATTAACATGCAGTTCTTTAATATGGTCTTGCAGTGTCATGGCAACTCTTCCTACCGCCTACAATAAACTGTGGCATAAATTCAGGCACCCACTGCCTTTTCAGAAGAAAGGAATTTAAAGAAAGTAGATAAGTTAAAAACATTATTCTATTTAATTTTCCCTTATTAAAGGCAGTAGGCACAGTAGGTATAAACAAAACTGAAATTACACAGTAGTCTGTAGTGTCTGAAGTACTGATTTTTTTCTCTTCTAGGTGGTACCTGGGGATCCCTCTGGCAAAAATGAAACTGTGGTAGACGTGAATATTCTGACTTCACCTACTTTCACCATTAAAGTTCCTCCCAACTTAGACCCAAAGAGTGCTGGATTCATTGAATACATAGCTGGCAAAGCACTGCAACTATATAAACAGAATTTTTAAGTGGTAAGTTCATTCTCCTTTCATAGAGGACACAGCTCTTCATAAGAGGTGTTTACATTTCAATAAACTTTAGTTAGAAGAGGATTCAGTCATGGTATATACAAGACCACGTCCTCAGAAACGACACACTGATTGAGATACAGACACAAGCCTTATGGAAAACAAAACCAAATGCTCATTGTTCTAGCCTGCAAAACACAGACATGATGATATTAAAAGACTTATTTAACTGTGAAACCCTCAATCTTTAAGTAACATGTGGGATGAGGTAATGTGATGATAAATGTTCCTTCAGAAAAAAAATTGCCTCACAACCATAGTCTAGAGCCTTGGCATTGGAAACCATCTCTTTCTGCTCATTAATCACAAATGAACTGGAACTACCACTGTGCATTATGGTTTTTATTTTGGGCAGTGTTTAAGAGGATGCTCCTTATTATTTTTTTATGATAAAGGAGTGCAAAGTTAGAACCAACACCAGGAGCTGTTTTACCATAACATTTTCCTATTAGCAGCTCTCTGCTCAGATTAGGTGTTGACACAGTCTGCAGTTTGACTTGCAGGAATGTGCAGAAGAAGATCCTTCATAGGGGCTTCCAACCATTTTTGTAGAAAGGACTCACAGAGGCCTCTCTCCACGCTGAAGGGATTTCCAGATGGAGAGGGGAGAACCAGGCAGAGAGGCAAGGGAAAACAATGCTCCCACGGGGAATCTACAGGAAAGATGGGCTTTCAGGTAGTATCCCGCTGCTGTGGGGGTAGTCAGCCACCCAGTGAAACCCAGGGGGCCCAGGGGTGCGCGGCTCTGGTCTCCTCCAACCCTCACACATGGCTCTCCTAGGGGCTAGAGCCACAAAAGGCACAAGACCTACAAGCCAATCATTGCAGCATTCCCTTGATCTTCTGAGGAGGCACTAGATATATACGTGGCTCCTCTTTAGGTCACAGGTGCCCGAGATCCTCATCTCTGCAATAAAGCTGAGAAGCACAACATGAATGCATGGAGAGGTCTCAGGCGGCATGCAAAAAGGATTCAACATTAACAAAGTAGATGAAGAAAATAAAATTTCAGCAGTTTTTATTGACTCGGGTTATTCTTTTGAGGTCAGACTCACAATTTTTAAACAGATGAAAGAAATCACTTCCACCAGAGGGGCTGAGGTGGGCTGCAGAATTTAGACAGAATATAATATGCCTCACCATGAACTTCAATTAAGTAAATATTGGTGAAATTACCCGTATACTATATTTGAAACAGAAACTTTAAAAAAAGCATTTCTAAATAAAATGTTCAGCAGTTTCTCTACAGTTTTCCTTCAAAATTCTCTAATTTATATGCAATTATTGATGACATATACTATTTCAGATCATGTAAGCTAATTTCAAGGCCTAATGTAATATATTAATTTCCTTAGTCTGATTATGATTTTTAGACTGAATCTTAGTCTGATTATTCTGTGCAACTTATCTTGTGTAGCCATTTCATACCCAAGTAAGTGGTATTAATTTCCAAATCACAATACCATTTTATGTTCATTTTGCCCAACAGATTCAGGGTATATCAAAAAGCATGATGAAAGCAGTTAAAACTCATAAAGATCTACAAGAAGGCAAAAAAGAGAAAAAAATCTGTTGCAGTCTGGTTTTTATGTCATGTATGTTTCTACAGCAGGGCACTGATACATTCCCCATACAATTATTTTTGTAATATCTTTTTCTCAGTCCAAAACCAAAATGTTTAAACAATTATTTTTTTCATCCTAGGAAAGAAGATGTGTGAAATCTTTCTTCCTGAAATCCAGTATATACTCCTTAGGTGAAATACTTCTAAGCTCAACATACAGCTAATTGTTAAATGACTATGGTTAGAATAGTTGCATATAAATAAAATTTTGCTTAGTAAATACTGTGACATATGAGCTATCAGCTGAAGACTGTAGAAATCTTCTAATTCAAAAACAAATTCAAATCCATTTTAATATTAATTTATTTAGATAAAATTGTATTTATGTTGTAAATTAGCTAATCTTCGATAACCAGCTGTGGCCTGGTTATGCAAAGACACTTAAGGAAATAATCAGCTGTAAGCATACACATAATTCCTATTTGCATACTTAAATTCAAGCACATTCTTAGGCCTTTTCAAGATTGGTCCCTACAGATGTTGCACATTCAGCTAAGTCAGAATCAACCAGATTTCCATATGCATGCAGCATATTATTTTCCAATGAAAATGTTCCATTTCTTTTTCTTTTGATGTTTATCGTGTACATTAAATGACTTTTCTGAATACGCAGAAATGAGTAAGTCTTCTGCCTTTGGCATTTCTTAACTGTAGTTAGCCTCCGGAGTCATAATTAACAGGGAATCCTTTATCAGAAAAGATGTTTGTTTTTTCCTAAATTATATACATTAGCTTGCAAATTATAATAAAGGTTAAGAATGGATATATCTCTCAGAAGCAGAGCTCTGGGTTATTTGGTTTCAGTTGCTGTGCCTGGCATTTCTATGCATTTTCTGCACACAGTTATATTCACCATTTCCAACCACATCTCTGCTAAATAAACTGTATTCATTTCAAAGTGTGCAAACCCATCTATATTAGATATATGGATAGTAAAAGAACTGTACCCTAATTACACTGTACCTTCTCCTCTACTTCTATACATGCAAGTAAGTGTACACATTTATACAAGAAAAAGGCCATTTCATTGATTTAATCAGTGGGAAAGATGTCTTCCTGCCTGCTGTAAGGCGAAGCAGCATTTTCCAGTCCAGTCTTCTGTTCCATTCAACCTCCATTTTATATGCCTGTTTTACAGGCTCCTAATCATGAGAGATTAGCAGTCATAACTCATATAATCACACCAGTGCTCAGAAAGTCGGGTTTTATCTGAGAGATAAGTGACTCCTACAAAACTTGACTTCTTGACTTTCTTGCAGCCCAGAAAGCCAATTGTGTCCTGGGCTACATCAAAAGAAGCAGTAGCAGCAGGTCGAAGGAGGTGATTCTCCCCCTCTACTCTGCTCTCATGAGACCCCACCTGGAGTACTGTGTTCAGATGTGGGGTTCCCACCATAAGAAAAACCTGGACCTGTTGGAGAGAGTCCAGAGGAGAGCCACAAAATTAATCAGAGGGCTGGAGCACCTCCCCTATGAGGACAGGCTGAAAGAGTTGGGGTTGTTCAGCCTGGAGAAGAGAAGGCTCCAGGGGGACCTTATAGCAGCCTTCCAGTACCTGAAGGGGGCTACAGGAGAGGTGGGGAGGCACTCTTCATCAGGGAGTGTAGTGACAGGACGAGGGGTAATTCTCAAGCTGAAAGAGGGTAGATTTAGATTAGATATTAGGAAGAAATGTTTTACTGTGAGGGTGGTGAGACACTGGAACAGGTTGCCCAAGGAAGCTGTGGATGCCCCATCCCTGGAGGGGTTCAAGGCCAGGCTGGATGAGGCTTTGAGCAACCTGGGCTAGTGCAGGGTGTCCCTGCCCATGGCAGGGGGGTTGGAACTGGATGATCTTTAAGGTCCTTTCCAACCCAAACCATTCTATGATTCTATGATTCTCAGATACACCAACAAAGGAACATTCAGAGAAGAAATATTCAGAGAAGAGTCAGGTGGACTAACACAGAGTACACCTGGAGAATTTTCAGAGGACCCCGCGCTGGGAGCAGAACGAGGAAAAACCAGCGTGGTTTGGAGCACGGACCCGGGTGAGGTGCTCGGGACCGCGCTCCCTGAGGGGAACAAGCCCCGGCGCGGCCGAAGCGGACGGCTGTGGAGGATCTCCGGCTCCGGAGGAACGGACACGGGCCACCCGCCCGTGGCGCTTTGGGACACCCGCCTGACAGCTCCCGGTCCCCTCCGGCCGTGCACCGTGGTGCTCCACCTGGTGCGGCGGGTCCGAGCATCGCCCGGC